ACCCAACCCATTAACAACCCTATTTGTGGGCGATGATAGATCTCGCATGAAATTAATAAAATTGCACTACAAAAAAAAAAAAAAAAAAAAAAAAAAAATCAAGCCGTTAAAACCTAAGTACTTTCACGATAGCTGAAATGTATCTAGGACACATTTTAATTGGCTTGTCTTTTATTTGCATAAAAAAATAAAAATTATAAAATCACCTCTCTTGGACATTTTAGCTTATTTGATGGTATGGAGGGTGTAGAGGAGGTTCCTAAAACTCACGAAAATTTTTTTTTTGACACTCTAAAACAATATTTTACTTTTTATTTTGGAGAAGTTACTTCGTTTTATCCAAGAAATTTTATAGATTGCTAATTTTATATATATATATTTTTATAATACATCTTCGATAGGACGCGGTGGTGGTAAATATAATTTATTTCAATTATTGCACACGTAAATCATTTATTTTATATTAACAGAAGTCTGTCTTTTTTTTAGCTTCTGGTAACAAATTTCGAATGACCTTGGGTCTTCCAGTTGGTGCAATCATGAATTGTGCCGATAATTCTGGAGCAAAAAATTTGTACATCATCTCTGTAAAGGGTATCCATGGTCGACTGAATCGATTGCCGGCAGCTGGAGTTGGTGACATGGTTATGGCCACTGTTAAAAAAGGCAAACCTGATTTAAGAAAAAAGGGTAAAGAAATAGAGCAGCATATTTACATACTGTATCGCAGATTTATTTATAATATTTGATTTAATTGACTTATGTAGTCATGCCCGCTGTTGTAATCCGACAAAGAAAACCTTGGCGTAGGAGAGATGGTGTTTTTCTTTACTTTGAAGGTAGCTATGAAATTGATAATTTGGATTTTTGGTTCAATATATAGCTAAGATTTTATTTTACAGATAACGCCGGTGTTATCGTCAACCCCAAAGGTGAAATGAAAGGTTCTGCCATCACTGGCCCCGTAGGGAAAGAATGTGCCGATCTTTGGCCCCGTATTGCTTCTTCTTCCGGAACTGTGGTAAATTTTTATTTATGATTTGATTCAACGTTTATGTGACATCCCTAATATTAGTTATTATTTTCTGCATTTTTCAAGGTATAAAATCTGGATTGTAATTTGTGATCTTTTAGAGTTGTAATCTTGGAACAATGACAAAAATAATGTGATCAATAAACTTCAAGTCGTTATAATTTTAACATGCATTCATAAAGTGTTATTATTGCATAGTAATATATTTGCATCGGCGATTCGTCTTGCCATTTTGCGCACAACTGTGTTATTCGTGTAGCAAAAATATTGTTTTGTGGGTAGGGTTGTTAATGGAGTAGCTTACTCCGGAGCACTCCGGAGTAGAACCCAACCCAAGTTGGAGTGGGTTTAAAATTATGCCTTTAAATTTGGAGCAACCCGGAGCAAAACATGGGAGTAAGTCTAATTTAGTGGAATAGGTTGAAGATTGGGTCAACTCAAACCAACCCAACCCATTAACAACCCTATTTGTGGGCGATGATAGATCTCGCATGAAATTAATAAAATTGCACTACAAAAAAACTTATGTAAAATGAATCATGGCTGATTATATTTGTGATAATTTGCATATTAAACACATAATTAATACTGAAATTGAAACTGATATTTACTATCTATCCAAAGTTTTTTTTTTCTATTAAATAACTTGTGATAATAAAGAGACCTTTTTTTCCAATGACTAATGATAGTGAAGTAGTCTTCTTATAATACAAATTAGACTAAAAGATGTAATATACTAATATATAATCAAGTAAAGAATCTTCCCAATCCTGCTGAAAATAGTCTTCCAGCAAGACTTGGATTTGATGCTGCTGCCCTTGCCGCAAAGCCCGTTGCCCATTTACGTTTAGCATCTTTATCACATTGTGTGTAACCAATTACATTAGCCAAATTTAAAGTTATCGCGACGGCAACAATAAGAAGCCAACTTGGTTGAATTAAAACAAAGAAAGCAAGTAAGATCCATATAACTACTGTCAAATAAAGCGAGGTCCAAAAAATGCGGGAATCTGTTTGATTGACGGGTCGTGAGGGCTATAAAAAACATAATTTGGTTAAATTATTGTTGATTTGACTTTTTTTGTTTCTTTTCTAAATTAATCATGAAAAAAAAAATTACATCACGGCTTTCAAACATCCAAACGTTAGTTCCATCGGGTTGAATATCATTCCACCATCTTAATCCAACCAATAATCTTCCAGTTACGTTCTTAACTGTCCAAAAATCAAAAGCTAATAATAACACGCAGATAATGAATACTAGAGGAAAATTTCCAAAGAAACCTCCAAATAAATAGAAAATTACGGCTAATGATCGAAATAATAGGTGGAAAGCTAGCGCCACCGGATGACTAGATATAAATAAATTCATCATAAGTATGCAAGTAGATTCAATCTAATAGCGTTATCTATGATCTAATTTTTTAATTATAAAAGATATCTTCAAGAAAGACTAAAATAATGTATGAATAAGAAAAGTTTACCTGGACTGTTCCCAGATACTTGGATTTTGATTTTGATTTTGATTTTGACTTTGACTTTGACTTTGACTTTGAATGTTGTCACTTGTTCGTGCAGGTTCTGTTTGTACCGTTGGTGTAGTATTACCCTTGGCCTTTGTTCCTTGAGCAGCCTCAACATCTGGCTCCAAGGTTTCCGAGATCGCAAAGGGTGCAGCACCAGATAATAAGCTCGAAGTTGGAGTTTCCTTTAAAGTGATGAAATCTGTAAGCACTCATTTAGCTTGACGCGTATCAAAGAAAAATCAACACAATACAATGCTTGCCATCTCAAGTTGTTTGAAGATCGCCTCTCCAAAATTAATCGAACTCTCCTAAAAGTTCAAGTAGCACATAATATAAACAATTGATATACGTGATCATCAGTTAGTGGATATATCTATAAGCACGTGATCATCACCATAAGTATATAAAGTGACCACTTCAATTTTGAAAGCTCGGTAAAGTTTGGTGCAGATATAAGTAGATATACGTATATACGTCGCGAGCTATATTTTCAGTAACAAAACACGTTACACCACGAAGTTCGCGTAAAAATTATTCGAAATGATGTCCAGTAGTAACCATGAAAAACGTAAAGAAAGTAAAGATGCAGAATTATCAGATGTCTTGAAAAAATGGTTACAACCTCGAATTGGTCCAAAGTTACAGAAGGGTTTAACCGTTGAAAAAGCTTGGGAAGACATCGTTAAAGATATTGCCATAAGGATTTTGTCTCCACTCCCGTTGGAAGTCTTTGCAAATGCGATCAATAGGCTATCAAGGCTCGATGATATGGGTCGATTTGGTTTGGTAGAAAAACTTCTTACAATTTCACCTAATCCTGATTGCGCAACTGGCGACAGAGCCGAAAGAATACGTGAAATAATGATTGCAACTTTAGCACCTCAGGATGCTCTGAGTGGTTCATCCTCGATCGAAGTTCAACCAGATCTATTTGATGTTGCTAGAACTGTCCTTGCACAATCTCACAGGGATTGGATCGGTACACGCGAGGCACTTTCAACCTTCCTCAAGGACTGTACCGCAAAATATAATTCTGATCGTAATGTGTATATCGTCTATCCTCATATCAATGACATTACAAGGAATTTATCTATGGACAAAGAAATCCAAACTAGTGTAGAATATTTCTTTTCTCGTATACAAGATGTTGCTAACGCGAAGGGTTTAAAATTTTTTGATCTTATAAAACCTAATATATTAAGTTGCGATAAAGAAGATATGGAAGAGCTGTTTTTAGATTATTTTCCAAAAGGACTACCTTTAGAAAATGAGGATAAAGTTGGCACTGAAGAGTTCGAGAAAAACCGCCAACCGCGGCTTAAACCACCATTACTTAGACCAAGATGGCACAACCAACAACATATGATGCTTTTAACTTTACAAAACGCTAAAGACCATACAATGTCACGTACAGATTTGATTGACGCCGCATTGGCTTTAGATGAAAAATTAAGCGCGGAAACAGGCTTACCGCGATGTTTTACTGGTCAGGTGTGTGACTAAATTATCGATTTTGAGTAATGTCGAGGCTTTGTGGTTTGTTACTTGTTTAATATCATAACTTTGCATTAGTTTACATTTCATTCATAGTAATAAAAAATGGCAAAATTTATAAATTTTTGCATTGCATAACTTTTTATTGACTTAATTTTCTTACTTACATTAGACGCCAAGAAATTCGGCCAGCTCATGCTTAACGACCAATGCAGACAAATATTTTATACAATTCAAAAAAGATCGTTCACAAACGTCATATTACAAACTTGCTTTCATACCTGAGGACATCGACGATGCTATAAGACATTATAATAATTGGATGAAGAAATTAATCGAACATGATTGGCCATTATGTTTTGGGCGTGTGAAAAAAAATAAGCAAGGTTAGTAAGTTTAATTCTTTTATTAATGTTTCTTATTATTTACCAATGCTTTATTTAATTATTAGGTACGAAATTAATAAATTGCGGACGAGCAGTTATGCTCAGTGTAGGCGCAAGTAATCCTCAACATCTGCGATGTCGGCGTTGCGCACCCGATACGAGTTGTGATGTAAAATTGCCAGCTTGTTCAAAATGCAAATCTAAAGGGTTTTTATGCATTTACCCCCTGCGGCCAGGGGTGCATAAAGAACGTGAGCGTCCGAGAACCGCAGTCAAATCTATTTCAAATTCTCAAAACAGTGAAAATTCATCTAATGGTACAAAACATAAGAAAAAGTCTGTATCTCATTCCAAAAAAAGGCAGCAAACTGATGATTATTCTAATGGACATGAGACATGTGCACTTGTATCGACAGATGTACTTCTAAGCGGATTAGATCTTACTTGTGTTCCAAAAAGCCTTAATGATGTGGTTGAGATTCGTCCATCTACAATTCCTAATGCAGGTAATGGATTGTTTGCCAAACGTAATCTTCCAATGGCAACACCCTTAGGCTTTTATTTTGGCGTTCCAACTATGGAGGATGAATTTGACCAGAATAAGGATAAAGTTGGCAGGGCATCACATTACTCTATGAGATATAAACATACAATACTTGACGCAACTGATGATAAAGGTGAACCATTCACAGATCCGAATGGTAAGATACATTGTCCTTTCCATTTCATGAATGAAGATCCATTCGGAAATATGGTTTTTCTAGAGGGAAGTGAAGTCAATCAAGTCATTTGTTGGACAAAACGGGATATTAAAAAGGGCGAAGAATTGTTCGTATACTATGGTGGTGAAGTTGATAGGGAGCACTGGGGTCAAGCAGAGGATATAAGCGAGCCTATTGTTTGTGCTGGAGACAGCGAAGAAGATGAAATAGAGTTCAGCGATGAAGGACGAAACGAAGAAGATGAGGAAGAAATAATATCCGACGATGCGGTCGATATGGACGATGAAACCATAAATACTCCGGGTACTCCTAATTCTGGGACGAAGAGAAAAATTTCAACAAATACTCATGATATAACAGAAAGTTCGCTGCTAAGTAAAAAGGGAAAATTTGGTAGTTAGTGATTGTAGTTGATTAAAGATTTATAAGCTTTGCCGAGTTGATAATTTTGATACGGCTAAATCGGCTTAGTCGAATATTGTCTCAAAAATTAAATCTGCCCATAATATTTCAGATGTTTGAACTATAAACTATAATCCGGAAACTCCCGTTTACCGTGCTCGTATTTTTATGTTCTATTTTACGTAAATAAACAAAAAAAAAAAAACGTCGTTGTATGATGTTTCCGAAGTAAAAAAAATAAATCATAACATTCCCGAAGTGAAGTTGATCCAGAATGCGGTGATATGATATTTGATAGACGTAGCGGTCGATGATCATATTACTTGGCATGACTTCACGAGACATTATGGTATCTAATGTAGGTCTAATTACATAGTGTAGCATAACCTCGATATAACGAACATATAATGAAGTTCATCTTTAGCTCTTATGTTTAAATTCGCCTCAATATAACGAAATTATTAGCAAATTTAGATATAACGAATTTTTGAAATTCTGATACTAATAGCCGTCCAGTGCGTGAAATTTATGCATAATGTGCTTAGAGCATTTTTTTAAAAAAAAGTTCACATTTCTTTGGCTATGTAATTTACAAATTTTTGGGCTAAATCGTGCACCAGCAAAAATACCATTCTTGATGGATCGTCGGTACTGTTTTTGATAGGTAGCAAAAAAAAATAATCCACATACCGTTCTTGATAGGGTTCTAAAAAAGAACCTCTAAAATACTATACTACTATAGTGAAAAACAATTAGGATTAGGGTTCGTTTTTAGAACCTTATCAAGAACAGTACCCTAATAAATTTTTTTATTAACCCCATCAAGTTCAGTACTGCCGATCCATCAAGAATAGTATGCATCAGAGACTGTACCGACGATCAATCAGGAACGGTATTTTTGCATTGAATCGTTAATTTGGTTTATGTATGCAGAATCGCTTGTAAGTCCAATTAACATTAAAGCTACCTATAACAACTTCTTTATAATGATTCCTGAATATGACGAACGTGAAATTTTAAGTTTATATATATTTTAAGTGTGAACAGATTTGGGATTTCTTAATAAAGTTACAATTTTAGAGTAGAATTTATTTTATTAAACCAACACACTAACTCTAAAAATCCTAAGAAGTCCAAATCTATTTAAATTCAGTTCCCACTTACAACATATATATTAGTTGAGTTTGTTTTAAAACTTTACAATCTTTTATAGCTTCTATCGTAGTACTTAATTGTGAAAATTTGGTTTATGAATGCAGATTCGTTTATAAAGCCAATTACAAGCGAAGCTTGTATAACTACTTTACAATGAATCCTGGTCGTGAAATTAAATTTATATTGATTGAATTCGGAAAGTGTAGATTTGTATATTCGATAATTCGATGTCATTTGTACAATATAATTTATAATTAAGTTTAACAATTCATTTTAAATCCGCGATTATTATTCAGTATTTAAGTTTACCTTTAGACTATTTTAACTGGTTATTCTGGATTAATTGTAGCGGGTTTGTTTTTAAATAACAATTAAGAAAGCTTACCCTTTACCATATTGATGTGAAATTACGCGCCGGGGTTATTTTGAAGTGCACAATTTCCAGAGAGCTAATAATTAATTTTGACGAATACAAACGATAATTTTTTTAATCCTTAGTTCTCTGGAAATTGCATCTCGAAATAAAGGCCCGAACGTTATTTCGTGAAAATACGGTGATATTCAGTGATAATAACAATAATTATAATAAAAAGAACAAGGATTAGTAAACGCACGAAAATAAATGTTGAAAAATTTTTGAAAATCAATTTTCCGGAAAATTGTAGGTCGATGTTACGACCAGGGGAGAGACTTTATATCCACTGAGCCAATTTAGCTTAGGGTCGTAAGCACTAAAATGAGAAACCAAACAAGTGTACCCGGTACACTATTAATCCTTCCAAAATATTACCCAAATCTCTAACTCACAAAGACTCAAACTAAATACCCTAAAAACTCTCTAGCCAGTGTTCTACAATTCTCTATTTATACCTACTATTAGACTCTAAATAAGCTATACACCATTTACATACATGTAGTATAACAATATAAAGTCTAATTAAAGTATACTCTACGACTATAAACTTTGCATAAACTATT